GATACATTGCTCCTCCTTTTAGTAACAATATGCTGCGAATGCATTCAAATGGTTCTTTGGAAATCTTGGCACTAGACATAAACGACTCTGGGGTGTACTTGTGCATGGTTCAAAACCATCAAGAGTCGAGCAACGATTCTCTTGAAGTTAATGTAACCGTGCAGATCCGCCATCAAGAGGACGAGCCCTTTAACACTGGCTTTACAACCCTTTTGGGCTGCGTTGTCAGTCTGATTTTGGTCCTTATGTACCTCTTCTTGACACCCTGTCGCTGCTGGTGTCGCAAGCAGCCTATACCAGCAACACCGAATCCTGCGAACGAATGCAGTGCCCAGTCGTCTATCCTGACACCCACGCCACCTGCCACCACGGAGGGCCCCGGCCGCAAGGTCAGTAACAACAAGCATGTGGTCTTTCTGGAACCCATCAAGGAGGCACAGAATGGGAGGCTGCAGGCAGCACTGGCCCTTGATTATCCCAAGCTGGCAGTAACGCGGAGCGATGCTGACTCTGTCACTTCCGTCTTCTCAGATACCACTATTGTGCCATAGCGGCTGCTTACTGTCATCCCAATGACTTGCTCAAACGAGCACGTGGGTCCTTCAACGTGTCAGTCTGCAACTGCACAGCTACTCAGGACAGATCAGGGAGAGGGCTTTGCAAGCCCATAGCAGGGAGCAGGACAGAGCAGATACAATTAGAGAGAAGAAAGATATAAAAACAAAAAGGCAAAAAGATGGAGCCAAGCGCTCCCAAGAATCAGCTTTAAGGCTTGACTGAGCCACGACGGTACGAGAGGAAGGAATTGGTTTGAAACTACAAAAGCTGAGAAGGGTAAAAAGCTTTCCCTTTACCACTGCTTGAGCCTTGATAGATTCATAGCTATGAATGCCTTGTCTAGAGCCTATAACCCACTGAATACTGCATAAACCCAACTCTACTCTAGAAATAGCATGAATGACATGAAGGAGAATGACAAGTGTATACTGGATTTCTAGTTTTTTATATACTAGAATATAACTAGAATGTTTTTTAGATGTCCTTTTTATTCCTGTGTTTCAGATTGGCAATTTGGTGAGTAGTTAGCAGCAGTAATTCATTTTCAAGGGGTCATGCCCGCTTTGCAAATGTAAGGGTTTGGGCAAGCGAAAATGTGTCTATAAAAGTGGAGATTGTTGTTTTAAAGAAATTGACTTGCAGTTGTGCAAAGTGGTGCTCCTAACTTATCCGAATGAATGTGGATATCACACAGAGGTCACATCTCATCCTTAGTATGATTATAAATTGAAATGAATGAATTTTAATGAAATGGAATCTGTTAAAAAGTACTTTTCCCCTCTCCCTAAGCATTCCATGTTTCCCCTTGCCACCCACCCCTCCCCTTCCACAAATCCCTACTTTGTCAGCTTCTTAATAAATCCTTTTGCTTCGACCCCAGAGGTAAATGTCTGCCTTCTTATTCTTAATTAAAGTCTTTATGGCAAGGTGAACATTCAAACTATAGAATGTGTGTCCTAGCGTTCCTGCTTTTCTATTCCAGAGTAAAATTAAACTGTGTGTGCAACTGTATGTAAGAACATAACATCATCAAAGCTGCTGCCAATTTGATCATGACAGAAGTTGTGAGATATAACTGGGATCAAACCTAAATGTTTGTGAATGTCATGGCTGCTTTTGACAATGGCATACAAAAATGTCCATATTTGGTTGACAATGGCACGTACGTTTTACTGACCAATGAAGTTGCAGCACAAACCACAAATACTCTTTCCATCTCTGGGACCTCAGGCCCAGAAAAGGGTGAGATTCTGATTAATCAAGTTTGTGTGATGGTCTGGAGATATGCCGTGACCCACAAGTTATAACATACGGGTAAATGGAGAATTTAACAATAGTACATTACCCTTGAGCCGAAGCCCATCTTCCCCAGAATAACTGCATACTAAAGAGTGTGTTCCATCCAAAACTCTTCTGCTGTCACTAAAACCACCATCATAACCATCATCATCACCTCACTGTTTTGTGCCACAATTCTAACCATATCTGCATGGACACACATTTTGACATCCAAGGCATGCATAGTCTCCACCTAGGCTCTGGAGTAGAAGAGAGACACTTTTTATTTACAGGAATAGTTCTCCTAAAAATGAAAATTCTGCCATCATTTACTCACCCTCACTTCATTCCAAAATGGTATGACTTTCTTATGTGCAACAAAAATGAAGATATTTTGAGAAATGTCTTAGCGTGTATTTTTTCCCCATACAATGGAAGTCAACGGTAACCAAAACTGTTTGGTTACCAACATTCTTCAAAATATATTTTTTAAGGTTTAGCAGAAAAAGAAAGTCACACAGGTTTGGAACAAACTGAGGTTGAGTAAATAGTGTATAAGTAAATGAATTAATGTAAATCAGAAAAATAATCCACAATCCTATATTCTTTAGTATTTTAGTCTAATTTGCTGCAAAATATTCACATTTCAATAGTCATAATATTGTAATATAATTTTTTTTTTTGATGAGAGGCGTAATAATCATAATATTTTAATATAGCGAACCATTTTTAATAAATAATATTTTTACATTTTTTAAATAATGTTTTGTAACAGCATTTTCTGGATTTGGATACAAAGCTTACTATCGCTATTTGTTGAGGTATTTCTTACCTTAAAGCACCAATGATTCATGGCTAATATTTAGCTAGACAATTCTACAAGGTTTCATACAATGGAAATTTATATACATTTTAGGAATAAAATTGACTTTTCTCAAATGCATTTCTTAATCCCCTGCATCAGACAGCCCATTTCTAAATCTGATTAAAACTGTACATAATTTGCTACACTGGCACATCTTACCCCCACCTTCCCTAAAGCAAAAATAAATAAATAAAAAAATTCAAAGACTTGGAATGTCCTACAATATCCAGATGCTCAAATATACCAGATTCCATAATCGTCACCACCCTGAATGTATGTTCTACTGGGTCCGTGTCTTTTTAAGCTGCATAAAGCTCCTGTTAAGGGACTTTATATGCAGCGGGGTGCAGTTGCTGCCTCTGAGCTGTGTGTGGTCCACCTCATTAGTGTTTTATTTATCACACAGGATCAATACTGTCAAAGAACAATATGTCAAAACTGTGACAGCACAAAAAAAAAAAAGCACATGAGAAACCTCATATGAGCCCGGGGCTAACTGAAACCCAAGGTTTGTGTGTAAGAGGGCTTTTTCGATATCAGTTTCATGTAAATGCGTGTGTACTGTAAATAGTCCATCATTAGGAAAATAAGATTTCAAGATGATACCCAATAACACATAGGGTATGACTAAAATATTACATTTATGATGAATCTATGTTAACAGTGATAATGATACGTAAAGTAGCATAAAAAGGCACGCAATATAAACTAAAACACAATATTCTTTCTGTGAAAAGGCATTAACAAGGAAGTTTACAACACACATATTCACAGTATGGACTTATCAACCACAAGCCAGGACATCATTCTATATTACAGGTGAATGCGTAAAGGGAAATCCTATAGTCATAACATCTGCTGAGCTGTAATGCTGGTCTAAAAATGTTCTTCCCCGTGCACCATACTGAGCTTTAGATGTCTGTGTGGGAAGACCAATAAGGGCTTTTGTTTGAGCCTCGAGCATTAAAGGCTTCCAAGACATTTTCTCTTTACCATTGCTGCTATAGGACACGTAGCTTATTGTTCCACATTGGCGACATGTTGGAAACAGATGATATCTTGATACAATATAAAAGGTTTTAGTAAAAAGGCCTTTTTACACCAAATTTCCATTTTTTTGAAGTGAACAGACACAACATTTTAAGATGAAACAAAATAAATGCATGGGGTTAAGCGAAGACGTTTGACTGTATTAATTAGTTAAGGTGTAAAATATATTTAATGCACATAAAGTAAAGGGTCCATAAAGTCCATAAAGGGTGGGGTAATTTTAGTCTACATACAATGCATATTAAATATTTGGTGCATTTGGTATTATATAATTTTGTTTCTGTTAGTCGCATTGCACTTGGTGCGAACAGTCCATCACAGCTTTGTTATTAAGTGAAAATGGATCTTTTCTTTTTAATTCACTTCTTTCAGATCATTTATTGCAGAAAGGCCTTAATCAGCACTACACTGAAAAAAAACACACTGCTTTAGTCTCCCATAATGCAGATATATAAAACATTAAAATACCAGTTAAACCCCAATCATAAAATATGCATCAAATATATAATACATAATTTAGAGCCACCTCACTTAAACATTGCTGTTTCATTGTGCATCTATTTTTCTGTTGGTTGCGCAGTGAAGATGTTAAATAAGAAAGCACTTTCAAACCAAACAGCTTTATGCTGGTCAAAGTAGCAAATACTATGTTGCGACTATGTTGCGATTCCTATTGAAATGACTGAATTTGGTCGGTGAAAAATTGCAATGGTAAACAATGGTAAATGTGACCATAACTTTACAAGAACAACATACTTTCAAATGAGTTAAAGTAACATTTATATACAGTATAGTCAATATAGTCATATTCTATGGAACACAAAATGAGATGTTTAGCAGAATGTTTATGCTGCTCTTTGGCATACGACAAAAGTACAAAAAAGATAAATATCTTAAAATTGGTCCACCCAACTTGTGTGCTATACTAAGTATTTTAAAATCATATAATAGGCTGAAATTTAAGCTCGTATTTAGTGAAAATCTTGCTCGACTCCCATTGTCACGAAAGAAAGAAAGAAAGCTTAATGCAGGGCTGTCCAAACTCGGTCCTGGAGGGCCGGTGTCCTGCAGAGTTTAGCTCCAACCCTAATTAAACACACCTGAACCAGCTAATCAAACTCTTACTAGGCATAGAAACTTCCAGTCAGTCAGGTTGAGGCAAGTTGGAGCTAAACTCTGCAGGACACCGGCCCTCAAGGACCGAGTTTGGACAGCCCTGGCCTATACTTACATTTTAGCTATTCGGCTTCCCATGTTTTAAATATGAAATTATTGTGATCAAGAAGAGAGACAACCTTTATGTCAAGCGTTATGGAAATGGGATGCAACAGTACGCGCTTTTTTTCCGCTAGCGAACTGTTCGTTTTACAGTATATTGCAATCTGCTCTACTTCGAAGTGTACGGACTCGTCCAAAGAGTAGCAGTGTTTTGCTCTCACTAGATCGCTGTGTGTGCACAGAAATGATGAATTATTTGTCTTCAACCATATCGCAACTTGAAACATGAGTTTAGAATGTGAATGTTCTCAAATATGATACTGACATCCCTTTCTCAGATCCACGATTCCCCCCTACAGTCCAGTGGTGGTCTCGTCCATTGACAGCGGAGCAGAGCTGTGTGTGTGGTGTCAGGTCTCTCGCTCAATGATGAGGTTTCAAGTGCGCCTTTGAGATGTTGGGAGTCTGTAGAATATTCTGCAATTTGTAACTTTTTCGCTTCGCTTTTATTACAACAACATTCCAACTTTTAGTCTACAAGATCGACCGGTACGTGTAAACATACCTTATTTAGTTTTTTGTTTGTATATGTAAGCTTCTGTTAGTTTTTTCATGCAGCGAAAATGTTGAAAGTTTTGTGAGGACACTCCTTCTTCAGGACCCGACGGACCAAGGCTACAGCTGACAAATTGGGGGACATATCAGCTCTGTCATTTTCTTAGAGGTAAGATGATGTCTGTTTTAAGCCTCTAATATATTTTTTTCAACAACATATGCCGCTGTTTGTAACCCATCATTTGCATGATAGCGGTCCACGAGAATCAATACACAGCTCTTTATGGCACCTAAAAGAATGAAGTTTAGGCTAAATACTAGTTTTTTTTAGCAATCTGCGATGGTTTTGGCAATGGTGCGTAAGGTTATTTTTGTATTTCTAGGTTGGAGAAATGTATTTTAATTAAATATTTTACTCATTTATTTATTTTTTAGTTTATGGCAAGGTCGCCATAAAAATCCATGAATGTAAGCAGGGGCTGTTTTTAATGCCCAGGAAAACTGACCTTATGATGTTAAATGACTCTATTTAATCCTTCGCATTAATTTGATATGTTAAATCACTTGATTTCCTCGATTATCCACCGAAGAAATTGACTTATATGTGAATACATTAAGTTACTTACTATATATAACTGAGTGTATAATTATAGTTACACTGCTTGTGATAGTTCCCATATATTAATATTTGCAGTCCAGCTTTTCAATGGTAGTCTGTAGATTGTCTGATAACAATAGGTTATTCTTCCAATTCACTTGCCATTTGTATTCTTAATTTCCCCTGTATTATGATCGCCTTGTGGGTCACAGCTTGATCTACACAGCAGGAGTAGGAGGTCGATTTCCCACTTTTCCAATCAAGTCTCTCCATGATGCCTTGCAATCATCTCAGTGGCATACCTGCCAGCCTGCCGTCAGTGTCAGAACAATTCGGAACCGCTGTCAACATTTCCATTTCCATCTCATCTAGTTCTAGTCTAAATCTGGTAAATACCAGCGAAATGTGTAAAACTGTTTTGGGGAAATTCATCCTGAATGGGAAATGTATTGGATGACCTCTCGACATCATTACATTTAGCGACAAGCTATTTTGGGGAAAAATACCCTGAATTCTCAAACGAGGGTACAAGCGGATTGTTTGTTTTCCTGTGATTTTACGGTCCACCAGAGCAGCAGAAAAGCTGGGTTTTCTGTTCTACTGATCTTTTGACACGTGGCTGTCAGGGTGCATTTTTGTTAGGCCACATTGGGGAATAGAAGGCTTAATGAGCCTCACACCAACACACACGCAGTTAATTGAGTTGATGTTTTATGCATGATGGGTCAAAGATGAATACTGTACAACTACATGCTGAATTGCACTGATGTGTACAAAGTGTGTCCCTCACTTTCCAGGTAACGTCTCTCTGGCTATTTGATCTGTGCACATGGCAACCTGGCTCATATTTTTGTTTGATTTGAATGGAGTGTAATGAAAGCTGTCATCTGGAAATAAATTAAGGGCAATAGTTGTACTGTATAGCTTTTCGCACTGGTCTGTGAAAAAATACGTCACGTGAGTGTGTGGAATCTGGTGGCGAGACACAACATTCACGTTTGCCAGAGTGGCAGCCTTGTAATGAGGGCTTCTCTAATGAGAGGAAGGAGGGTAACAAAGACAAGTTTGTGCAACCAAGGCTACTGGAGTGAAACTGGAAACTAGGTCTTGTGTGGAAATCATAGAGGAATGTTTAGTCATTAGATGCAATATAAGTGCTGTGACTTATTGTGACAGAATATTTGCTTTAGAGACATGGCAGGCAAGGGTAAAATATTTGGTGAGAAGAAAGTGCAATAGGGGTCAGTGTAATAGAAAATGGCATTTAGGATAAACAGAGAAAATATGTTAAACTAATAAATGCAAATTTATTCTTCTGGACAGTCAGTTTAAGTAAATGAAATAACATTGAAATACTCACAAGCTTGGCTGAACTGTATTGGCTTTTTTCCATACATTGATTGACATTTCCAAACCTCTTTTCACCCTTAAAGGGATAGTTCACCCAAAAATAAAATTGCTGTCATGATTTCACTCTCCCTCTCAGGGCGTTCCAAACCTGTATAACTTTCCTTCCTCCGTGGAAAAATTGTACTGAAGAATGTAC